CAGCAATCCCACTTTTGGGCATTTACCCAAATGATCACAAACAAGGCCACACTAAAGCTACCAGCACAACTATGTTTATTGCAGCATTATTTACCATAGCTAAGACATGGAACCAACCCAGATGCCCCTCAGTAGATGAATGGATCAAGAAGATGTGGTATATATACACAATGGAATTCTATGCCTCCATCAGAAAGAATGACATTTCCCCATTTGTTAGGAAATGGAAAGGCTTGGAAAAAATTATATTAAGTGAAGTAAGCCAGGCCCAAAGAAACATAGGTCCCATGGTTTCCCTTATTTGCAATATCTAGTATAGGTATGAGTCAAGCGGAAAAAGTCAGATAATGTGATGTTAGGAAAACAAAACCTCAAATATGTATTTTAATGTTTTTGTTTCTTTCATGCATGTATTTCTAACGCATTTATAAGATTATTTCTTTGTTGCTTTGTATGTCCCTCCCCCACAGTGTAACCCCCGCTTTCACTATATTTGATGTCAGTATAACATGTGGAGGAGATGGGGACAAACAAGTCGTTTAAGGATTCAGGTGGACCTGTTGCAACAATGAGAAGTACAAAATGTCATGTCAAAACCAGCTTTACAATGTCGGTGGGGGGGGGGGTGGAGGGGTATGATTGGGTGGGAGGGGGGGGAGGCTGGGAAGGGAGGTGAAGGGTAAACAAAGGAGGAGGCTGCAATGCTTGGTAAGAAATGTATGCATTATCCTGCCCATGTAATTGTAACCCCTCTGTACAGTATGTTCTCAAATAAAATAAAATAAAATTTAATGAGACAACTGAACTTCCTTGAAAAAGAGCAGCAAGGAAAATCTCAATCCAGTAGATGCAAAGAAATAATTAAAATTGAATCAGAATTAAATGAATTAGAACTCAAAGAAAACATAGAAAGAATCAACAAAACAAAGATTTGTTTCTTCGAAAAAAATAACCAATTTGACAGACCCTTAGCAAATCTTATCAGACAAAGAAGAGAACAGACCTAAATAAATAAATTCAGAGATGAGAATGGAAACATCACCACAGAAACAAACAAGATTCACAATATTATCAGGGAATAATTCTCAAACCATTATGCTAATAAGTATGAGAACTGGCAGAAATGGACCTTTTCCTAGCAAATGTCAACTAAACAAAGATGAGTTAAACCATCTTAACAGGCCCATAACAAGCACTGAAATAGAAACAGCAATGAGACTTCTCATCTAAGAAAAGCGCCGGACCAGATGGATTTACAGTGGAATTCTACAAGGCCTTCAAAGCAGAGCTCACACCAATACTACTCAAATTTTCAATGAAATTGAAAGAGAAACTTCACTACTAAATTCATTCTATGAAGCCATCATAACACGCATCCCAAAACCAAGCAGAGACTCATCAAAGAAAGAGAACTATAGACTCATTTCTTTGATGAACATTGATGCAAAATTCTCAACAGAATTTTGGCCAATCGACTTCAAAAGTTCATCCAAAAAATGATGCACCACGAACAAACAACACTCATTTCAGAGATGCAAAGCTGGTTCAATATATGCAAATCAATTAATATTATTCATCACATCAACAAAAGCAAGATTAAGAACCATGTTGTTATCTCAATAGATGCAGAAAAAGCATTTGACGAAATCCAACACCCCTTTATGATGAAGGTTCTGGAAAAATTAGGAATTCATGGAACATTCCTCAATACTATAAAGGCAGTATATAACAAACCTACAGCCAGCATTATACTTAATGGTGAAAAACTAAAGTCATTTCCTCTTAACTCAGGAACGAGACAAGGATGTCCATTCTCTCCACTTCTCTTCAATCTAGTATTAGAATGCCTAGCTACAGCAATAAGACAAAATGAAAACATAAAGGGGATCCAAATAGGGAAAGATGAAGTAAAACTCTCCCTCTTTGCAGATGACATGATCTTGTATTTAAAGAATCCCACAGACTCCACTCCAAAATTACTCAAGCTGATTCAAAACTTTGGCAAAGTAGCAGGCTATAAAATTAACCCTCCAAAATCAACGGCTTTTCTGTATGCCAACAATGAGAAAAGCATGGTTGAAATCAGGAAAGCAAAGCACTGTGTAATATCTTCACAAAAAAATACCTAGGAATTAACCAAAGAAGTGAAGGACTTCTATGATAAATATTTTAAAACCTGAAAAAGGAAATCAAAACAGAACTTAGAAAGTGGAAAAAACCTCTGATGCTCCTGGATTGGAAGGATCAACTTAGTGAAAATGGCAATACTTCCCAAGGCTATCTATAAATTCAATGTGATACCTATCAATATTACAACCTCATTCTTCAAGGAAATAGAAGAGGCTATCCAAAAATTCATATGGAACAATAAAAGACCGCGAATAGAAAAAACTCTTCTTCACAGAAAGAACAGTGGTGGAGGAATATCAATACCAAATTTCAAACTCTACTAAAAAGCCATAGTAATCAAAACAGCTTGGTACTGCCACAAGAACATAACTGAGGACCAATGGAATAGAATTGAAAACCCAGAAATGAATCCACAGACCTATAGCTATCTAATCATTGATAATGGAGCTAAAAAAAAATAGAATGGAAGAAAGACAGCCTCTTCTGTAAATGATTCAGGCAAAATTGGTTAATAACTTGTAGACAACCAAAGCTAGATCCTTATATATCACCCTGCACCAGAATCAATTCCAAATGAATCAAAGACCTCAGAGTCAAAGCAGATACTCTAAAAACATTACAGGATGTAATAGGAGAAACCCTAGGTCTCCTTGGCACAGGCCGAAATTTTCTTAATAGAGACCCAGAAACACAACAAATCAAAGAAATGTTGGATTGCATGAAATTGCAGAGCTTCTGCATAGCAAAAGACATAGCTAGCAAGATCAAAAAAAAAAAAAAAAAAAACCACAAATTGGGAGAAGATATTCACTGGCCAACAATGGACAAGGTTCTTATATCTAAAATATACCTGGAACTCAAAAAATTAAATCCCCCAACAACAAATCCTCAAAGAACAACTTCTCAATAAATAAGTGGGCTAACGACTTACATAGAAACTTCTCTGAAAAGGAAAGAAGGATGAACTATAGACACATGCAGAAATTGCTCCAGGGCTGCTCTCTGTTAATAAACAAGTTTTCTACCTGCAAAAAAGAGAGAAAGAAATGCTCAAACTCCCTAGCCATAAAAAATGCAAATCAAAACAACATTGAGATACTACCTCACCCCAGTTAAAATGGCTGGGCATGAACTCTAATAACAACAGATGCTGGCGGGGATGTGGACAGAAGGGAACCCTACTGCATTGTTGGTGGGAGCGTAAACTTTTTCACCCACTTTGGAAGATAGTATGGAGGTTCTCAAAAGACTCCACTTAGAGCTCTCCTATGACTCAGCAATCCCACTTTTGGATATTTACCAGAATGATCACAAACAGGACCATACGAAAGCTACCAGCACAACTATGTTTATTTTAGCATTATTTACTATAGCTAAGATATGGAACCAACTCAAATGTCCCTCAGTAGATGAATGGATCAAGAAAATGTGGTATAAATACACAATGTAATTCTATGCCTCCATCAGAAAGAATGACATTGCCCCATTTGTTAAGTGAAGTAAGCCAGGCCCAAAGAAACATAGGTCCGAGGGTTTCCCTTATTTTCAGTAACTAGTATATGTCTGAGCAAGCAGAAATGGTCAGATTAAGTTGATGTTAGGCTAAAAGAACCCCAAGATAAAGACTCAAAAATTTCTTTGTTGCTTTGTATGTCCCTCCCCCACAGTATAACCCCTGTTTTCACTGTATTTGATGTTGAAATAATTTGGGGAGGGGAAGGGAAAAAACAAATTGTTTAACTAGGGATACAGGTGAACCCATTGCAAAAATGAGCTTTACCAGACGTTATTTCAAAAAATGAGCTTTACAACTTTGGATGGGGGGTGGAGGAAAGGTGAGGTCAGGGATGGGAAGGGGAAATAAAGGAAGAGGCAACAATGATTGATAAGAAATGTACTCATTACCTTGCCCATGTAATTGTAACCTCTCTGTGTGGTATTTTCACAATTAAATAAAAGGAAAATAACAATCTTAAAAGGTAACCAATTCCTGCAACTATAGCACCTTGCAAGAGTTCCCTATAGACTACCAAAAATGAAATCAAAGCTATGAATTCTACAATTCTACCTTAACAGTTTTCAGAATAATGCACACAATAAATTTTATATTCTCAAAAAAATCACATGGTACATTATAAATACAGTTTCCCTTCTTTGCAACAACTAGTATATGTCTAAGTCAAGCAGAAAAGGTCAGATAAGTTGATGTTAGGGGAATGAACCCCAAGATAAGTATTTAAATGTTTTTTCATACAATTTTTTCTAACATATTTATAAGATGATTTCTATGATGCTTTGTATGTCCCTCCCCCACGGTATAACCCCTGCTCTCACTGTATTTGATGTCGGTATAATTTGTGGAAGGGAAGGGCAAAAACAAATCCTTTAAATAGGGATACGGGTGGACCCATTGCAACAATGACATATACAAGTCGTTATGTCAAAAAACGAACTTTACAACTTTGGTGGGGGAGAGGGATCAGGTGGGGGGAGGTGGGTTGAATATGGGAAGGGATGGGAAGGGGAAACAAAGAGGAGGCAACAATGCTTGGTAAGAAATGTACTCGTTATCTTGCCCATGTAATTGTAACTACTCTGTACGGTATTCTCATAATAAAAAAGAAATAATAAAAAATACGTTAGAAATAATAGCATGAAAGAAAAAAATATATTTGAGTGCCTATAAGTCCTCAAAAGTGAACTACCGATACTAGTAAACGATGTGACCACAAGGTGGCAGTAAATTTCAGCTGAAATAGGCAGGGGGTTATTTCAGTGGATTCTAAAGGAGTAGGTTAAGGGTAAAAACAAAGTCTTCTTATTGGCTGTGTAGACAATTCAAGAAACCACTCTAATTGAAAGAGAGAAAAGGAAACAATTTGATGACAGAAGAGGCTGTCCTTACTATAGATTATAAGTCTTCAAGTGATTGTAATTGGGAAGAAATATGAAGAGATTGATTCATGGTATATGCTTGCTCTTGTGGCTGCAGCTGAACTGTAAGTTGATTTGGGAAACCAGAGTACATTAATACTTGATGTTTAGACATCCAGGAGATCACTTTATCTAGGCTGTCTGTACTTACTGTAGAAAAAGGCAGTCCTGAAGAGTACTGACCTGACAACTGTCTCCTTTCTGTTTTTTTTTTTTTTTCTCCACATAGGGGTGAGTCAAGGAGAGAAGCTGGAGCAGAGTCCATCTATCCTGAGCATGCAGGAGGGAGACAGCTGTGTCATCAACTGTACTTATTCAGACAGTGGTTCAGACTACTTTCTTTGGTACAAGCAAGAGCCAGGACAGGGTCTTCAGCTCATTATAAGCATTCGTTCAAATAGGGACAAAATTGAAAATGAAAAATTCCTTGTGTTTTTGAAAAAGAAGGACAAACACTTCTTCCTGCACATCAAAGATGCCCAGCCTGGGGACTCGGCTGTCTACTTCTGTGCAGCAAGAACACATTGCTCCCCAGGCACCTGCAGCCTGTCTTCAAACTTGCCACCAAGACTGGAGCTCCAGCCCATACTTTGCCACAGACCTTCTTGCATAACATTTGACAATTGTTTACAAGTAGCAGCTAAACACAAACATTTAGGTCTAAGGAGACCCTGACAGGTGAAAACAAAAATAGAGTGATTGTTACTGAAGAGATTATTTTCCTATTTTATTTATTAGTAGCATACATACTACGAGGTAAAAAATGCATAGGGCTATTTTTGGGGATGGGACACAGGGCTTCCTTCCTCTTCTTCTCAAGTTATGCCAAATCCAAGTGTGTTCTTAGCTTCAGCAATCTTAAAGCTGCACTTAATGACTTCTTAGAAAAGTAATAAATAATGGTTCTTATTTTTGGTCAGTTGTGGGGCTTGAGCTTTGTGCTCAAGGCTAGTGCTCTACCATTTTGAGATGCAGCTTCACTTCAAATTTTCTAGTGGTTAACTGGAGATAAGTGGTCTCACAGACATTCCTGCCCAGGCTACATTCAAATCATGATAATCATATCTCTGCCTCCTAAGTAGCTAGGATTACAGATATAAGACATCAGTTCTGGGTATGATTGTGTGTGTGTGTGTGTGTGTGTGTGTGTGTGTGTGTGTGTGTGTGTGTGTGCTTGCATGCCAATTCTGGATCTTGAGCTTAGAGCCAGAGCACTGTCCCTGAGCTTTTGTACAGAAGGCTAACCATATGAATAAGAGTTCTATTTTCAGCTCTTTTGGTAGCTAAATGCCGATCAATGTCTCATGGATTTTCCTACACAGACTGGCTTTGAACCCTGATCCTCAAATCTCAGCCATCTGAGTATTACATGCATGATCCACTGGCAACCAGAGTGATGGTATCTTGGAATCCAGACATTTTCTGTGAGTTTACAATAACTATTCAAACTTCATACAAAAACTTTAATATCAATATCACCTTTCTCTTGTGCATGGAGTTTGAGTCTGTTGAAAGTTTCAGGTTACTTTATTGGATAATCTATTATATGCTAAATATGTTACATAAATAAAGCATCAAAATATAAAACTGAGAAGTCTGTATCCAGATTATCTGTTTGAACCATTTGATCAAGTGATACAACGAAGTTGGTATGCAACATCAACAAATTTAAAGATCTAATGTACAATACAAGGTTTACAGCTAGGAAAATTATATTGTTATAATTTTGCTCTAGTAAGTATTTTATAATACATCTAATATTAAATCTCAAAAAAGTAACTGACTGAAATGATAAACATGTAATAATCAATTTACTATCCATATTTATCCAATAACGTCATTGTAAGCCTCAAATAATTCATACTAAAATTTATTTTTAAAAGACCATTTCTTTCCATTCATCTATCTCAGTTGATCTTATTCAAAGATAATTAAATTTATTCCTTGAAAACCATCTTATATTTCTGGTATATATGAAAAGTTTTATGCATGTGTTTAGTACCTACATAACATGTATCATACTAGTGGATAACAAAAGGAAGTTGGACTAGTAGTTAATTTACAGATAGCTTGCTACCAATTTCCTGCTTTATCTTCAACTTTTTTGGGGAGGGCGGGGGTCCGGTCATGGGGCCTAAACTCGGCCTGGGCGCTGTCCCTCAGCTCTTCAGCTCAAGACTAGCACTCTACCACTTGAGCCACAGCGCCACTTCTGGCTTTTTTTCCCTGATTATGTGTTGCAGAGGAATTGAACCCAGGGCCTCATGCATGCAAGGCAAGCGCTCTACCCTTGAGCCACCTTCCCAGCCCTATCCTCAACTTTTGACTTATTATCCTAAATTTTCTTAAAAATGTGTATCTTCTAATGCTGTTGACAGATCATTGAAAATAAATAAGCTGTATAAATAATTAATTCTCTAATTATTTCTCCTCTGGTTAGATGTAGGCTTGGTTCAAGAGCTCCCACAATTGTTTAAGGATGAATATAATTGAACATTTGGTTGATTCTTTCTGGCTGAATTATGTATGTTAGTTATTGGTTAAGTGACTTACTCTTGTAATCAATGTCATTCACATATAGTAGTTTTCAAAGAAGAAATATCTAGCCAAACCTTCACCTGTTTTTTATATTTTTTATTGTAAAGATATTGTACAGAGGGGTTATAGTTACATGAGCAAGGTCCATTTCCTTTCGAGCACTGTTACCTCCTCCTTTGTTTTCCCCTTACTGTTCCTTCCCTCTACACCTCCCCAACTTCTCCCTCCCTCCCCAAAGTTGTAAAGTTCATTTTCAACATAGTGTCTTGTACATCTCACTGTTAACATGGATCATCCTGTATCCTTATTTCAGCATTTTATTTCCCTTCCCCTCCCCAAATTAGAAAAAAAAACAAAATTCAAGTCACCTGAATCAAATACAGTGAAAACAGGAGTTATACCATGGGGGAAGAACATACAAAGAAACGAAAATTCACATAGTACATTATAAGTACATTAGAAACAACAGCAAGAAAGATAAAACTTCTTGTGTCACTATCTTGGGGTTCATTTCACTTAACATCATCTTATATAGTCATATGTACATAGCTTCTGACCTTTCCTACTTGTCCTAGACATACGCTAGTTATTGCAGATAAGGGATACCATTGCAGATAAGGGATACTATGTTTCTTTGGGCCTGGCTTACTTCACTTAATATAATTTTTTCCAAGTCTTTCCATTTCCTAACAAATTGGGTGATGTCATTCCTTCTGATGGTGGCATAGAATTGCATTGTGTATGCGTGTGTACATATATATATGTAGCACATTCTCTTGACCTACCTGGTTTTTCTCATTTTACTCACTACACAACTAGCTCCTGGTCCTCAGAAGCAAGTCTGCTCTTTGTTTAGTTCTCCCAAGACTGATTAAAGTTGTGAGATGTAATCAGGGCTTGTAATTTATTGCTTTAGATCTTGGTTACAAAAGGAGGTGATAGAATTTTCATTGGCTTAACTCTGGATCTTATTATGGTGAGACTGGACATGATATAAGAAAAAATACAACACTCTATACCCCAAGTGTGCAGAGGCAGAATCCAGAGTCTGATGAACTACAGAGTCTGGACCTCAGATCAAAAATACATTTAAGCTTTAGATTCTTGCCATTAGGACTGCTGCCATTTCTCAGTCTATAGCTGCATCACTCCCAGCTCTGCCTGCTTGTTAACACCAGTATCTCTTTTTCTGTTGTTATCAAGTCTCTCTTTCTAACCACAAGATTTCACTAAGGCTCTATTAATCCAAGATAATCTTCTCATATCAGAACATTTAACTTAATTATATCTGCATATGAGTGACAATAATTCAGTGGAATAGAATCTGTTTTTCATAGGAAGCTGTAATTTTGCATACACTGTTAGCATCACTTTGGCTTTTATTTCTACATTGAGAAAATTATAATAAATAGATTAGAGCTCAGTCAAAAAAAATCCAAACCAGCAGCCATAATTATCTTATTTTCTCGGAGTTCCTAATATTAGTTTCTAAATTACAGTAAAGAAAAACTAATATGTTAGACAAACAAGATAGACCTGAGCTTTATTCACATTTAATGGCTCCAAGATTAAGAGTGGGTTACTTTTTACCTAATGTGCAGGGACATGGAAACGGAAAAATCATTTTAAATGAAGTAAATCACATTCAGAAGGACAAAGGACACTTATTTCCTCTCATATGTGGAAGTTAGATCTCAATTACAACTATGTCTGTAGACATATGCAGTGGCATATACACATATTCACTAAAGTATTGTCTATACAGGGTAGAATTCCAAAGGTATAACACTAGAATAATTGAATAATTAACTTACAGGTTAACAACAAGAATACCAGGAAGCTGGGACTTGTGTTGTCAGTGGTATGCGGGGGGGCGAGGTCAAATGGAAGTAGAGCAGACAAATGAAGAGAAAAAAGGTAGGTAAACGTACTCCTAAATCCAATGTACATATATGAAAATAGAACTATGTAACTTGAGAGAATGGTGGTGTTAGGAGAAAGGAAGGAGAATTATAAAAGAAGTGACATTGATCAAGATGAATTTTACTAATAAAATGTAATGTTGAATTGAATATTCTTTGTACAACTTCTTAAAAATGAAAAAAAAATTGGAAGAGTGATTTAAGTCTAAAAACACTTGGATTGGTTGAAATGTTCAGGCAGCACTTCCACTAGGAAGTCTCTGTTTCCTGTTTTCCTGTAGCAGCAACACATTGAGGGTAGCTCAGATCTCAGAGCCCAAAAAGTAGAGATAGAACACATTTCACATTAGAGGAAGAACACACATGTGGTTCACCAGATGCTGAAGGTGGTCATGGATTTTACGTGGCTGATAGGGGTGGGGCATTGCAAATGGCCCTTCTGCATGCCCTGAGCACTAGGAAGAGGAAATGTATTATGGGGACCTTGGGGGAAAAAGGGGTAACAGGAGGCAAAAGTGCAATTTCTTTGATCCATATCATTTACTCCTAAACTTGATTTCTTTTATTCCCTTTTCTTTTTTTTTCCTTTTTACAAGTGCATGTGTTTATGTGTGTGTGCATGATTATGCGTACATGCCAGTACTCAAGTTTTAACTCAAGGCCTCTCATTTTCCATTAGTTATTCCATTCAAGGTTGGAACACTATAACTTGGATCACATCTGTACTAGATTTTTGCTTGTCTGTGCTGGCTTACAACCACAGTCCTCAGGTCTCAGCCTCTGAGTAACTAGATTTACAGGCATGAGCTTCCAGTACTGAGCTCCACTACACTTTCTGATTGTATTTTTTCCCTCACTGTTCATTTTTACCCAGAAGGTAACTCGGGTCCAACAAGCAATGTCAAGCAAGAAAAAGTGACTTTGGTCTTGTACTGTACCTATGATATGAGAGTGGGTAATTATAGTCTTCTGCTACTAGAAGCCCAGCAAAGAGAATAGTACTTTCCTTGTTCTCTAGTACTCTTACAGCCAACAAAACACAAGAGCAGGTTACTATTCACTGATATTATAGAAGGCAAACATCGTCCAAGCTTGTCACCTCAGCTTCACGGCTGAAGGATTCCACTGCATATTTCTGTGCATTGAACAATACACAGTGAGAGGAATTTTGTAGAGAGGTGCACAACAAAACTCAGGGGTTGCCTGACATCCACCTGCTGTAGGGTACAAGGAAAAAGAATACCACTTTCTCAGACAGAAGGTGCCAAGACTGTAGTATAGGTGCTGCAGTTGAGAAAAAACTATCACAATAAGAAAATATGTCTCCAGATTCATAGGTCAAATCTAAAATTATTAAAATCTAGAATCATTAAAAATTGTATCCTTGAATATTTGAAGTTAAATATATAGTTCTGGATGGAGGACTGAAAACCAAGAGTAGCTATAAAGGCAATGTGCCATTTTGCCTTCCAATTAATCTGGAAGACTTGGCTAAGAAAGGTCAGAAATACAGCCCAAAAAAGAGCAAAAATTGCATGCATTGTTGGTTTTGAGTTGATCTAACTCCACCTAGAACATACTGAATAAATGATGTGTAACACCCATGGTTTTAAATAAAGACGGATTTTCAATATTTTACTACATTTCTTATTTTAGCACCATCATGTTAGTCCTGGGCTATCAAGAGGTGGATACAGAATGATCACCAATTCAAGCTAAGCTTGCAAAAAAATTAGTAAAAGTCTGTCTCTTAACCAACATACCAAAACAAAATGGCTAAGGGTTTAGGTTGAGATGTAGATTGTTTGCCTAGTATATGCCAAGTCCTATTATTTGAAAACAAACAATAAATAGGCATACTATGTGAACTGACCCATGCTCAGGCTACATTCTTTTTTTTTTTTAATTTTATTTTATTTTATTTGAGAACATACTGTACAGAGGGGTTACACTTACATGGGCAGGAAAATGCATACATTTCTTACCAAGCATTGCAGCCTCCTCCTTTGTTTACCCTTCACCTCCCTTCCCAGCTTCCCCCCTCCCCCCCACCCAATCATACCCCCCCTCCGCCCCCACCGACATTGATCACAAACAAGGCCACACTAAAGTTACCAGCACAACTATGTTTATTGCAGCATTATTTACCATAGCTAAGATATGGAACCAACCCAGATGCCCCTCAGTAGATGAATGGATCAAGAAGATGTGGTATATATACACAATGGAATTCTATGCCTCCATCAGAAAGAATGACATTGCCCCATTTGTTAGGAAATGGAAAGGCTTGGAAAAAATTATATTAAGTGAAGTAAGCCAGGCCCAAAGAAACATAGGTCCCATGGTTTCCCTTATTTGCAATATCTAGTATAGGTATGAGTCAAGCGGAAAAAGTCAGAGAATGTGATGTTAGGAAAACGAACCCTCAAATATGTATTTTAATGTTTTTGTTTCTTTCATGCATGTGTTTCTAACGCATTTATAATATTATTTCTTTGTTGCTTTGTATGTCCCTCCCCCACAGTGTAACCCCCGCTTTCACTATATTTGATGTCAGTATAACATGTGGAGGAGACGGGGACAAACATGTCATTTAAGGATTCAGGTGGACCTGTTGCAACAATGAGAAGTACAAAATGTCATGTCAGGCTACATTCTGACACCATACTACCTCTACCATCAAAGAGCTCAGTTTCTCTGAGAAGGGTTACTTGTATTGAAGAATTTGTATTCATAAATCATTGGTAAGCTACGGTTCTCACAGGACATGTGGATTTCTCCAGATGAAAATACACTTTTTATGGGTGTGTAAGGTGTCCCCTTTTCCTAAAATAATCCCCTTTACACTGTAATAGTTTTACATTTGCTTTATGCATTTCAATATGCAGCCCACAAAGCAAAACAGAGTTGGAGTAAAAAGAAGAAACTAAAGGCTATGTTCAATCTGGGTCTTTGACAAGTTACGGGAGTTACTAGAGCTATGGGAGTCACCTTCTGAAAATCCAAGAATGCCCTCTTTGTCATCACAAAACCAGATGTCTACAAGAGGCCACTTTCTGATATCTATGTAGTTTCCAGAAAGCCAAGATTTAGGACTTATCTCAGAAGAACAGTGAGCAGCTCATGAGAAATTGAAAGTTCAAGGTGATGTTGTCTCAAACATTCAAGAAAACACACAGCCTCCAATTGTATGAGGGTGGAGAGAAAGAGGTTGATGGAACACATGCAGAGGTTAAGAACAAAGATTTGGTCTTATCATAAGAAAATGTGTAGAGACCAAAGACAGTCTAGAGCGCTGAAAAATAGTAGTAATAACACTGTAAATGCTATAATAGAATTAACAAGGTAACCATATTAAATAAAGGGTCATTTGTGTTGGGGTGTGTCTTTGCTCCAAGAGGTAAATGCAACTTAGTTTGAAATTTGTATTGTTTCTATCTTCAACAAAGTTATTGCTTTTTGGTGGCTATAAAAATAAATACCAACTATCTTACTAATTTTAATTCAGAAAAATGGTATTTTTATTACTAGTAAGAAAATGTTTTCAGAAGCAACAGTAGCTCATTCCTATAATCCGAGCTTCTCAGGAGGCTGAGATCTCAGGATTATGGTTTGAAGCCAGCCTGGGCAGGAATGGTTGTGAGACTCTTACTTCCCATAAACTAAAATCTGATAGTGGAGCTGTAGCTCAAGTGGTAGAGTGCTAGATTTGAACAAAAGATGCTAAGAGCAGGACTTCATACTCCATGGTAGGCAAAATGAAAAAGGAAGAAAGAAAGAAAAAGAAAAGAAAGAAAGATAGAAAGAAAGAAAGAAAGAAAGAAAGAAAGAAAGAAAGAAAGAAAGAAAGAAAGAAAGAAAGAAAGAAAGAAAGAAAGAAAGAAAGAAGAGAAAGAGAGAGAGAGAGAGAAAGGGAAGGAGGGAGACACGGAGAGATGAAGGGAAAAAGGAAGAAGGAAGGAAGGAAGGAAGGGAGGGAGAGACGGAGGGAGGAAGGAAGAAAGGAAGGAAGGAAGGAAGGAAGGAGAGAGAGAGAAATTAATTTGAGCTTTAGCAGAAAATAAAGCTTAATTTTTTTAATCGTATTTATGCCAGGCACTGATGGTTCATGCTACACAGGAGGCTGAGATCGAGTATCACAGTTAAAAGCCAGCCAAAGCAATAATGTCTGTGAGACTCTTATCTGCAATTAACTATCAAAAGGTGGAAGTGGAGTTATGGCTCAGGCAGTAGAACACTAGTCTTGAGCAAAAAAAGCTCAGCAATAGCCCTCAATCCCTGAATTCAAGACCCTGAACCAGGGCAAAAAATATTTGTATGTATATTAATTTATTCAAAAATTGTCAAGTTCCTACAGTGTAATAAAACTCAACATGAAAGGAAAACTTGTTTCATTTAGTAGCATTATTGTACAATATAAAAAAGTCCAATTTCTATACTACAAATTTGTCTGAAACCTACCAATCCTACCCCAAAACATGTGGTCTCAGGAAGACACCATGATGAGACAGAGTGCAATCTGCTTTCTCTGCCCTTGTCCTTTACTTCTCTTATAGGAGCATTTGATGATAACATAAAGAGCATTTTACATAGCCTGCTGAACTCTATCATTACTCTTTAATCCAGAATCTTCATTTCCTACAATCCTGCTTCCAGTGCCAACCTCGTGTTTTCAAGTCCTAAAATAAGAATTATAGCAGTTGGTTGATGACTGAACTTTCATTGTAAGCACCGCATTGGGAAACAGAAGATAAAAAATCTAAAGGAAAACTCACAGACTATTTTAAATTGTGGAGAAAGATGCATGGCTTTAACTTTACCCCCTTAATCAGGTTAAAATAAGTGCAATGTTCAGTGATACTGTGTAAATCACATGGACTTTTCAAGCATCTGTCTGCAGATGCTTGATTCTGTAAAATCCAGTGTGCTGTACTGACTTTTATAACTCAGCATCATCCCTACCTGCTCTATATTCTCCCAGAAAAATCTAGGACTGATTTTCCACATTTTCTCTGTTCTGTAGTTCTGTGTCATGTTGGGACAATTTGATTTGGAAGGTAGAGGAAAGGAAGAGGGATATATAAACCCAAAGCTATCCAGGCATAAGTTTCTTACTTAAATCTTAAATCTATTTACAATCTTCTTCTAGAATCATAAGCTTCTTTCTCTAAGTCTTTGGAAACTGAACATCAGGAAACAGGCTTGGCTGCCATCCTGTGAAAAGCATACAGAACTGGCACTGCCTGGTTCCCACAACTGGTCACCTGGTCTTGCCAGTGAAATTGTGGAGTAAGAAGTAACTGATGTCAAACCATCCCATATGGATTCAATTGCTTAAATTTTTCCAGTCTGGGTTACAGACTTTCACTTTTCAACGATGGATATATTCAGGAGTAGCTAAGTCACTTTTTGCTAGCATACATTTTAACCAAAAAAATAATCAAATAAACAAAAATCCCTATAATTTTAAATTATTTTGTTTATTTACTTACTTTTCTTTCTTTATTCACTTGCTATTTACTTACTTTTAACAATTTTTTATAGTTTTATTTTTTTAATATTTAGAGACACCCTGCAAGAGGCTGCAAGAGACAGAGTGGAGCAGAGCTTGTGCTCTCAAGCCTGAGGAAAGCTGGGGCTGGTGGAGAGACCCGCGGAAATCATGGGCTGGCTGAGAGGCCCGAGTACAGCAGAGAGGCCTACATAGAGCCGAGAGGCCTGAGGATAGTGGAGAGGCCTATGGAGAGCAGAGCAGCCTGTGGAAAGCAGACAAACTTGAGGATCCCGGGCCTGTGGAGAGGCCTAAGCAGGAGAGCCCAGACCAGTGGAGAGGTCTGAGGAGACCTGGGCCAGCGGATAGGCCTGCACAGAGCTGAGAGGCCTGCATAGAGGTCTGTGGAAAGCAGAAAGGCCGGTAGAGAGGCCTGTGTAAATGGAGAGGCCTGTGAAGAGCAGAGAGGCCCGAGAAGACCCAGATGGGCAGAGAGTCCTGTGCAGCACCGAGAAGCCAGTGGAGAGCCAAGAGGCCAACGGAGAGCCGAAATGCCTGTGGAAACCCAAGAGACCTGCCAAGAGCTGAGAGGCCTGCCCAGAGCCGAGGAGTCAGCAGAGAACCAGGCTGGCAGAGAGGCCCAAGGAGACCCAGGCTAGTAGAGAAGCCTGTGGAGGGCGGGGAGGCTTATAGGAAGGAGGAAGGAGGAAAAAGCAAGGTGGGGACTAACCCCCTTGGAGGTGCAGCTGCGCCTAGGACAGGGCAGTTGCAGACTGTCTAATAAAACTCTTCTGTCTTCTTTAACTGTGTCTCTGTGGATTTTCTTGCTCCCATGTCATTATATTTTGGTATTTAAATTTTGGCATAATTAGTGTTAGGACCAGGTTACATTAAGCACATATGATATTAATTAGATTAAGGATGAAGGAAAATTAACTGGGATAATTAAGTTCCAAGACCTAAAACTAGTAAGTGCAAACTTCAGAAAAAGGAAAAATCTGTGGCTTGACATTTGTCCAGAATTGCAGAGCAAGTAAAAATAAGTCAACAGTCTGAAAGGTTAACCACCAATATCCTAATGTCTGCTTTTATGATTACGCTTGCTCAGCAAATATACTAAAACATGGAACTTGACCCTTTACAGTTAACTTTTATTGATAAATAAGAATAAGGCCAAACTTGAAAGGTGGGATCTCCCTTTAGAAGAACAAAGGGAAGATCAAGGATGATAACTTTGTCTTGATTGATTATTGGAATTGTAATCACCATTTATGATCACTAACTGCTAGACTGCAAGTTCTGCTTTTGTAATTTGCTTTCTTCCTGACAGCAAAATTACCACTGACCACCTGAGTGGCCTCTGTGTTTTATGCCTTCATATCCCCTGAGCTATTAGATTTCAGGGCCACTCTTTTGTCCTCCAAATGATGGAGAGTAGTCCTCACATGGAGAAATAAAACATTCTAGTTTGATTGACTCTATGTCTCGATCTCATTCTGGTATTCAGAAACTTTTCTAGATAAAACAATTCAGATATTTTTTACTTCTTTGACATTCACAGTGCATAACTACGGGATCAGGTAAAAGAAAACTAGACAAACAAAAGGAGCTTGAACTTGCACATTTTAATCCCAACTCCCATGTGAATATTTCTATTTATACTTTAAAGCTTTTAGAGACAATTAGAACACTCATTCTTATTTGGAAAGATTACTTGCGAGCTCTGCTAACTAACCTTTTAATTTTGACATATTATATACAGTTTAATTAACAGTCTTAATAATTTTGGAAGGAAACAAATACTAAATTTACAATAAAGATTCAGAAAATGAAAAAATAGGAACTAATGTTTAAATTATGTAGTTATTACATCTGTAGGTTTTATATGGACAATAAAATTATAATGCAAATACATTTAAATTGTTAACTAATGTAATAAAGTATTCCTTAGCACTTTTGTGGTCACTTATTTACACACAAGTATCATTCTTATGGAAATGGAAAGACTTACAAAAATCATATTAAGTGAAGTAAGCCAGACCCTAAGAAACATAGACTGCACAGTTTCCCTCATTGTAAAATCAATGACCAAACACAATTATTACTTATCAGAAATAGGACCAAATATTAAAGGCAGAACCCCTCTGTAGAGAGAAACTCCAGGTCATATGGCCAGTAGTCAGCCTAAGGCTTTTCTATATTCAATAAAAAGCAAAAGAACATCGCTCCCTCACTCAAGTTTCCCAGATTGGCAAATTTGCAGTTTATCACAAATATTACTGAAGACCACTAACAACTTGAGGTTTATCACCAGCTGTACTGAGTTGCTTTATCAGCCAGCACTTATGATTTAAAAAAACATTTCTGTAAAGAAAATTTCAGTGCACCCCTAACCATGAGAATGAGTTTCTAATGTCTTGAGATTTAAACTATACTACCTCAACTCAAAGCTATGATTTGCTTCTGGTTCTGCAGTTCAAGACTATGCTTTGCTTCTGTAAATCTGCTTGCTTGCTTTGACAAACACCACCTGCATGTGGGTTTTCCCTTTAAAATTCTGCTGGGAAAAAGGGCCTGCCACTGCACCTTACATCCCAAATACTGGGGTATAGTTGCTGAGCAACCAATAAGGACTCTTTGCTCTGAGTTGGTGGCCTTATTTCCAGAATTGGGACTTTCCATCATTTGAAAATTAGTATATGTCTAGGATAGTCCTAGAAGAGAATCATAATAGCTCAATTGTGTACACATGACCATATAAGATGATGCTAAGTTAAATGAACTCCAAGATAGTGAAACAAGAGGTTTTTCTTTATTGCTATTGTTTTAATGCACTATGAGAAGTTATTTCTTTTTTCTTTCATTTTTTCCCTCTGGTATATCCCCTGTTGTCACTGTATTTCATTATGTCACACTGTGTATTGCATATATGTTTATCTGAATTGGGGAAAGGAAGGGGGAACAACAAAATGGTGACACAAAAAGGCAAACCAATGCAACAGCAATACAAGACAATACCTTGGAAATGAATTTCACAACTTGTGGGGTAGGGAGTGGGAGAAGGGAAAGTAGAAGAAAAACAAGAAAAAGAGTAACAATGTTCGACAAGAAATGTACTCATTACTTTATGTATGTAGCTGTAACAACTCTGCTCATCACCTTAACAAAAAAAATTAAATTAAAAAATTGAATTTGAAATTATTCTAAAACAGCAAATGTCATATTTCAAGAACTGTTGGTGATACCTCAACCAAAGTCCACGTATTCATTTTTAGTTTCAATTAACAAATATGCATTGGGCACCTAGGATCTCAGTCATTTTCTGTGTTTTGGAAAAACAGTGCTATAAACACAGAATCAGTACTAATATAGCCTCTTATCACTTCCTGTAACTTCAGCACAAAACACTGCCATGACATTACAATGGTTAGGGTGGCCCACAATAGAAACATGAGGCAAGAAAGGCCTGGGTTAAAGTGTCCAAGGCAATTGGTGTCTTTTCAGCTACACACACTGGGTTGCTCTTCTCTAAGAAATAAATAAAACACTTTAGAAGTCATCATTTTTTTCCTATAAATTAACAGAGAATACTTGAAGACTGGTTTATGACTGATAGCTTAGGTCAGGGAGGAGGACATCTGACTTTGGGAGACCATCAACAGTGGCCCCAGTTCAGGCCCTGTGCACCAGGGGGAGCAGCTACCTGACACAAGCTTATTTCCTGTGGAGATAGTAGTTTAAATACATTGTTTCTCTATCACTTTCAACGTTTCTTTCACTGAAGAATAGAGAACATATTTTCCTAACACTAGAAGGAATGTCTCCATGGTTAATGACAGTAATATTCTTAATAGTTGGTAAGTAAAATCAATTTTAAAATTTGGACGTTTTCTACTACAAATTCAACAAAATCTTTCTTTTCTTTTTTTCCTCTGTCCCCCGCCTCTCAACCAAACCTTACCTAAAATTTACCTAAGAACTTTATTCCCAGACTGACACAGATCTCTTTTTCCTTCAGGAAGGACTTGTGGAATATCGGTGACCCAGAAGGAAAGCCGCATATCTGTGTTGGAAGGGGCTTCCATGACCATAGACTGCACTTATACAGCAACAGGGTACACTTATCTCTTCTGGTATGTCCAGTATCCTGGAGATGGTCTCCAGCTTCTCCTGAAAGCCATCACAGCCAATGAGAAGGGAAGCTATAAAGGATTTGAAGCCAGATATGACAGAGAAAACACCTCCTTCCACTTGAAGAAAGCTGCAGTCCTAGAGTCAGACTCGGCTGTGTACTACTGTGCTGTGAGTGACACAGTGGCAGAAACCACAGGGGGAGCTAAGCACAAACTGAGGGACAGCAGAGGTTTGGCAGCTGAACATCTGCCCTTCAGATTGTTGTGGTTTCAGCACAGTCTTAGGTGTGTGCCTTCACTTACCTCCTGATCCAAAATTCCACAAATGTCAGAGGAAACAGGAAATGGACATCACCATATTTAGCTGTTCAGTAGTGAACTGAAGAAGACTGGTCTGATGGAGAGAAAGATGTGGAAGCTTTTAGGAGTCTCATTCATCCTATCCTGTGTCAGCTGTGCTGTGAGAAGGTGGCTTTGCAGAAGTCAATAAAACAAGCAGATTATGGTAACCTCCTCTATATTGTGGAATTTCACATTGGATGGTGGGGCTATTGTGCTCATTTTGAGACACTACCCAAAAAGAACATGTCAAATGGAACCTAATGCTTCTCCTCTGTGTGATTTCCATTTAAATGGGGTGGGCAGCTGTGTGTATGTTCAGCAGAGCCCTATGTTCATGAGGACCCAGGAAAGAATGCCTGCCATTCTCAAAAGCACTTCTTAAGACAGAGCAGCCTTCAACTGCCATTAATGTCTGCAGTATCCTGGGTAGACTCTCCTGCCTTTGAAGTTAATTTCTAGTAACCAGAAGAAACACAAAATCAAAAAATATTAAAATACTGCTAAGAAATAAAAAAGGCTTCAGTTATTTCAATACCCCGGCCTCCCGTTTTGCAGAATCAGTTTCCTACTTCTGTGGTATGCAGCTCAGTGTTCCCGACCCACAATTCTGATCCAGGCCTGGTCTTGGGGTTAAAGTGAGGAAATCTTGTTTTGTAGTTATATTGAAAGACTAGACATTGGAGTCAGCTCTAGTCCTACTGCATCAACCTAAATAAGTCCCCTTCCCAAAAGGTGTGTCATTGGTAGAAAACTGAATGAACAATTCCAAGATTAGTCCCAGTTTTGTAAAAACATATTCTTTAAAGCAAAAATACATAAGAGTCCATCACATGCTACTAAGAATAGCTATGAAAGAAAGCATAAAACAACAAATACTGGTGAGAATTTGAGGGGAAATGGAACCCTTATGCACTGTTGGTGGAAATATAAAGTAATACAACTTCTATGGAAATCACTGTGAATATTCCTCACACAACTGAACATAGATATATCATATGATCAAGCTGTTCTTCTCCTGGGTATATGCCCAAAGGAATGAAAGTAAGCAGACAATAGATGAACCTGAACACACTGTTTATTGTTACCCAATTCATACTGACTAAGCTGTGCAATCGACCTTGGTGCTCAGCAATAAACAAATGAATAAAGAAAATATAGCACTTTTATAGACAAGATAAAATCATGACATTTTCAGAACTTGAGGAACCTGAAGAAAATTGTGTTAAATGAGATAACCCAGACTAAAAAAGACAAGTGTTACATATTTTCCCTCATATGTGGATTCTAGATAAAAGAAAAATGAAAGAGTAGAAATGGAGCTACTAGTAAGGAAAAGGCAGGGAGGGAGGTAAGAGCTGGTGCAATGATAATGAATTAAATACATTGTATGAATTCATGAAAATGTCACAACAAACCCATTTTTATTTTCAATAGACTTTATTTTGACAAATATGTACATGAAGCTAAGGAAATGACATCCAAACACTATCTTTTGTTATTGTATTTACCTCTAAACCAGTAAGAATAGAAGAAGAGAACAAATCCATTATTTTGTAAATTGAATATGAAATAAAAACAAATGTTGTTTAGACTATGAGTAGAAATCATGTTGGTTAACCTAAATTTTAAGCCATTTTGTTTTGATTAGATTCTTAATTATAGGAAATTTCTTTAGTAAATGGACATGAGGAATGACATGGAACTTCCTGAGGTGACACAGAGAAGAGCTCTGCAATATAAAGTGCTCCTTGACCCCAAGATTCACACCAGATTTCTACAATAGAAGTATTAGGAATGAATGTTAGTGCAGAAATGAGGCTTTTGTAAATCAATGCTCTTACTTAGAAAAGATCTAACTTCTGATATATAAATTGATGCAAACAGAAACAACCTTCTGATTGGGAGAAAAGTCTCATACATTTTAATTTAAGCTGAAGATGGATTTTTACTTTTAAAATGGAACACAAGAATAGTGCAAATTGATTATTTCTTTGAACATGAGTGGGTGATCATAAGAGGGTAGTATTGTCTCAGAGAAGAAACCTCCATACTTCTAAAGGTGAGAGAAAAGGAAAAAAGCTTGTTGGTGAAACTAGGATTTTTTTTTAAAAAAAGAAAAAACTTCTTTTTTCTAATTGGTAGAGCAGATTTCTACTGTGTTTCCTAAAGTATAATAACTACATCTGAATGAGACTCCTTTCCCTTTCCATTTACAAGCTGGGTCCTCGGAATGAATGATATAAGTCTTTTGTGTCATACTAGTGATCCTGTGACTTCTCATGAGCTGAGAACATGAAGTTTAATGTTTTTGGAGTTGTTGTCTATCTCAGACCTGTGAGGAAAAACATGAATGTTCTTACCCCCATGTAAAGCTAATTTAGATTTGGGGAGCATCCACTATCAAACCACTGTGTGACCTCTGTCTTTCTGCATGGGGTGAGTAATCAATAGAAGGAGGTAGAGCAGAGTTCTAAGTCTCTGAGGGTTCCAGAGGGAGCTACCACCTCACTTGGCCACACTCGTACAGACAGTGGTTCTCAGAACTTTAGGTGGTACAGACAGTAGGCTAGGAAGGGCCATGAGATTCTGGTGTCCACATACACCAATGGTGATAAAGATGAAGGAAGATTCACAGTGCATCTCAGTAGAGCCAGTCCATGTACTTATATGCACATCAGAGACTCCTAGTTGGGTGATTATGCTTCCACACACCTGCAACTACACCCAAACCTACAAGAACATACAACGCCTGAGCTAGAGGATAAGCGTCAGGACAGAGCAATTCTACTATGTTCTGGATGCCATGGGAATTAAGGTCAATAGCAGGGAGGGTTTGATTGAAAATTTTCTTTAAGGGAATTGTAAAACATTTAATTTTTATGTTACTGATCTGATTGTATTATTTTTCAGTTTTATCTTTACATTCTAATTTAATTTTTTTAATTCTTGAATATACCAAAAACTTACGTTTAATGTCTGAATCTTGAGGACTATTCACATAATACCCATACAACTGTCACTGAAATAAGGCTGTAAACATGAACATTGTCCTTAAAAGTGTCCTTCCTCTTGCTTTTTCAACACTAAAGTATGATAAATATGAAAGAGATGCACAGGTCTACTGCATGTATTTTTATGTCTAATACAGTTTTATATCACATCTACCACATGTGCAATATCCCAACATGTGACTGGGAAATATGTTCAAGTGATACAAAGTAGTAAGGCTTCTAATCTTAGCTACATGTACCAAAAGTAATTTGGCAGGGCACTAGAATAATTGAATGCTTTAAAGAAAGGGATTTTTTTTCCCCTACTGAGGCTTGAACTTAGAGCTTGACATACTTGCTAAGTTTTTTCTCTCAAGACTGGCATTCTGCCCTTTGAGGCACACTTTCAACTCTGGTGCTTGGCTGATTAACTAGAGATAAGACTCTCATGTGGAAGCAAGGTATAAAGTACAACCATGCATGATAATATATACAGGGCTGTATACATATACACAGAAATTAACTAAATAATGGTGTACTCAGAGGAGGAATCCAAAAGTGTTCAGTCCTCTGAACAATTAATTGACTGTTTATCATAGTAAATATCAGGAATTGGAGACACATTTTGCAAGGTAGGATAAATGGAGGGAAAGAGGGCAAACATAGTCATTATAGCTAATTGCATTATGTAAAAATGAATTATTTAACAAGAGGGTAGAGAGGAAAGGGGGAATAATGAGGGAAAACAATAGAAGGGGTGACATTGATCAAGATGCTCATAACTTTACTTACAGAATTGAAACTTCTTTGTACAATTACATAATAATAAATTTAACTTAAAAATAAGCAGGAATCTCATGAACTTTCCTGCCTGGACTGGATTCTGACCCAGATCCTTAGATCTCAGATTTTGAGTAGCTATAATTACAGTTGTTAGCTAACAGAGCCTACTGCAATGTAGTTCTCATATATATAATATATACACATACATATATATATATATATACATATATATATAATCAAAGTCAATCAATTGTAACCTTGTTTTACCTTCACTTACTTCAATAATTTCCACATAAAATCTTTAACTTCAATGAATCTATGATAATACAGAAATGCAGGGAAAAACTCATTGGCATTCCACTTTAAGTCACACTAATTTATGATAAAATGTAATATAACCAATGAACATTTAGTCTTTTAAAGCACAGTAACAAAGTTAATAAGAAAATAAATCTTTGCTACAAAAATTCATAGTATCAGATTTTACATTAATATTATCATGATATACAAAACCAGGAAATAGTATCACTTACTCTGACACGTTTAAGAAATTTTATATATATATATATATATATATATATATTAGATGCATAGTATATATTATATATAATTCCAAATTGTGAATTGACTTACATGATGGGATAAGAAATCCTGTCCCTTAAAATAGGATCAGTAATTAGCACATACAGAAGTTATACCTTTCTTCAGTTAGCATTTCATCATTCCTCGTGGAGATGTGAAGATAATGAGAGCTATGAGCTTCTCCAATACAGAGGAAGTAGATAGAAATGAGAGCAAGGTGCCACCCTATATATGTCCTATTCTCTATATGCTTCATTAGCGCATTTTCATGTTCAAGATCATGATACAGCTTTACAAAATTCTCCTTTCACTTAATTGTGTTTAGGATTACATAGTATATATCTTTCTCTGTGAGATCTTTGCTTTTATATAAATTATCAACTTTAAAATGCATGTTCTGGTGTTGTGGCTAAGAAAGTTGGTTTTCTGATATTGCTAATTGTCTCAGACTATCCTTGACCCATATGAAGCTCCAGTGTGTACTTTAGAATTCTTTCCCTTTCTTATCTCCCCTCCTAAGGTTCTAATCACATAGGCTTTCCTGGGGAAGGAAAGCCTAGATGTTCTCTCTGTGGCCAGCAACTATAAAGTCAGCAGAGTACTGCAGCCAGCA